TAAATTAATTAATTGAAAATATAAAAAAGAAATAAAGAGTAAGAAATGGGCCTGAATCAACATTTTTGGGAGGTGTAAAGAGCATAATCTGGGCCCAAAAACAAGGAGGTCCATTTGACCTTCCAGATTGCTTGCTTCTGCATTGACTATGCTCTATGGTGCTCCCCTCTTTCTAACCATCATATCTAGATCTCAAGACAAATGGCGCGCTGGATTATGAGGATGCAAGATAGTCATTAACCTCACGCGTGTACTGAATTGCCTGAAAGAAAATGTGAAAATAACAAATGCTGGAGGCAGGGGTCGAACCCCTGACCTCCAGCCTTCCAATGCCTTAAGCGTTGCCTGGCTACCACTGGACCATTTTGCTTTTGTTGTATAGTAATGAAATAACAATAATAATATGTAAAAACAAATATTAGTGGAAAACAAAAAGAAAATGCGCGCTGAACGTTTGAATGGGCCAATGGGGGAGTGACACGCAGTCGTCTCCTTCCTCTCTCCGTCGCTAAAGGTTTGATAACCTATACCTACGAACAAACGTCCATTGCTACAGACCTGTGCGTTCTCAAAATCTTCCATGGGCCATGGAAATAACATTTAATGCCATGGTTGTGTTCGTCTCGTCCTCCTGAACGTGACAGTACCACTTACGAAGGCCAATTTTCCCTGCATATAAAAACCCTAATTCGGAGCTTCAAAACCTAGCTATGGTGAAATCGTGTACAAGCCATAAAAACGTAATTAAACCATACAGAAACTTTACAAATGTGATTGTGATCAAGAATGTGTGACTAATTCATGTTAACAATGCCTATATCATGAGATTCAAATTCAAGAACAGAGCTATGTCGTGATGGACTTACAGTGCATTTTGGGACTGTAATGGACCTGTTCTTGATTGCTTTAGCTTGCAGAGACTCCCAGGAGTCGATTGGGATCGTTCAAAGGTCCTGAAACTGCCTCCAAATGGGATTTCGATCTTACACTTTTCTTGACTTTTTTCAGATTTTGTTCTTGCTCATACGCCCGTTTCTAACTCTTTTTTAGGTCTGCCTCACCTCCTTATGTACCAAGGAATGTATTAGGGTTAATAACTGCATCCAATCTTCCTCCATCAATGATTTTTGATTTGATTTGATTCACCATTAAGATCTTTCCAAACATGGCTTTTTTCAATCTTTTTGTCCACTCTAATGCCTTGCGCGAGTTTGAATGTTTGCTAGTTGTATAATAAAGCCTGAAACAAGCACAAAATCTTTGGGTTTCAATAATTTTGATTTTATATGATTTGTTTTGATTTAAATTGAATTAATTCAAATAAAAATCAAAATAAATAATAAAAATAAGATATGGACAAGTGGAAAAGTCTAGAGCTCATGGAATATGTTTCCAACTCAAAACAAGTGAAAAAGATTGGGGCCATTTGGCAAAATTTGAAGTTTTAGGAATAGTTGATTTTTGGCAATTTTGCAAAAAAGGTCAACTTCATCAATGCATAACTTCCTCAATTTTGACTCTTTGGAGGTGTTATTGGACTTTTTAGAAAGCTTGAGATATCCTCTAATCAACCCTTTTGGTCTCATCTCAATTTGATATTCCATGCTCATGTATGAAGCTTTGACAAAAAGGTGTTTTTGTTGACTTTTCAAAATGACCTATAATGTCCAAATTCATAACTTCTTGTGAGTGCATATTTTGAACTTGGGAGATGAAGATGGATTGTAGGGAATTGCATCCTCTTAAAAATGAGCTTTGGATGGGTCATTTATCATAAAGTATGAGAAAGTTATGCTTGGTCAAAGTTGAGTTGACTTTTCCTACAAAACCCTAATTTAGCAACTTTTGAGTCTTGATGAATTATGAGCAATCCTTGATGAATCATGATCAACCCTTGATAAAATGATGAAATATACTTAAAAATGAGGATTTTAACCAAAAATCTTGAAGTTTGACTGTATGTGGGCCACAGTTGACTTTTGCCCTAGCACAGTCGATTTTTTGGACCTTTGAGCAATTGACTGAGCAAACTTCCTCTGCAAGGCTTGAAACTTGACATGGATGCTCTTGATAACATATTAGGACATTGTTGAGAATTTAGGATTTCTTGGACTCAAGTATCTTGATGCAACATGAAACCTTAATTTGAGGTAGACTGCCTTAGGAGAGAGCTTGTCTGGCCAACCCTTGGACTACCTTGAGCAACTTGGTGATCTTTCTTGAAATGTTTTGAGAAATATGAGAGGGAAAATTTTGGGGTACAACAGTATGCCTTGGTCTTAAAGAGGAGGGAGTCGAGCGTGGTCGGTGTCTCTATGCCTACAACTTTCTTACTGATCTAGAAGCACAAACTATTCCTCAACAAAAAACATCCATTAGTATTTGATATTTTCATATTTAATTAAGTGATGTTTCCTTTATCAAAGTGAGTTTTAGTCAGTTCCTTGGATTGTTCTATCCATCCTTCAGTAGACAGTGTAATAATAAGAAGTGTTTCTATATCCGATCTTAAGATTTTGATGATAACTTTATATGTTATCTTAGTGAACAATTGTATACACTAATCATTTCGTTCGAGTGTGTAGCTGTTGCTATAATATTCTGACACTAGTATCAAGGCGTGTGACGTCATCAGGTTCTGAATATACACTACTGAAAGAAAACATGTGGTTACGTGTTACAATTGAAGTTAAGATTCTAGAATCCATCTTCTGCAATGTGCCTAAGGAACGTTAGTACAACAAGTTTTGATCGTGACTTTATGGTTATGTTTTGGAGGCCTTCTAAAGCTTTATTTTAGTGTGTTACAAAGTTCTAAAGATTATGAAAGACGAGGTTCTGCTGAACAAGTTCTGATGATCTGAAGACAAGCAAGTTCTTACGATCAAGTGCTGAAGACTCTAAAGACAAGGTTCTGATAGGACAAGTTCTGAAGACTCCAAGACTTAGGTTCTAATACTTAAGAAAGATTCTTCTACAACAAGCTTCAACATTCAACATTCAAATATCTCAAACCTACGAAGATAAGAAGAAGTTCAAAATGGTTAACGTGTGATAATGTATAAAAGGTACATAAAGTAGTCTGTGACCTCATGACCGTTGAGAACAAACAACTAGATTTCTGATTACCTTTCTACCATTTCAATGGATCTCTTTTACAAGCTATAAAAGGAAAACTTGGAAGCTAAAGAAAAGTAAGAATCAACATTACACAAAATATACCAGATTAAATCAAGCTCAAGCAAAACTACACCAAAACACTGTGCAAACTCTTTAGAGAAAATCTTTTGTGTATAGTTTTATAAATAAGCAAGGAGTTGTTGCTCGTAACTTGCAGTAGAACACTTATGTGTTTTTCTTTGTACTGAAAAGTCTATGTAATCTGCTTAAAAGAAGAAAATTTGTAATACACTGAAAGTACTCAACTGTTATTGAATGATACCTTGAGAGACCGAGTGAAGGTCTAATCTCAAGAAGACTTTTGCTGCGGTTTGAGTGAATTTGCAATAAGAATCGACGAATTTATTGGGGGTGCCAATAAGGTTGATCAGACTTATTGTGGATTGTTTGTAATCAGTTTGGTTATAGTGGATCAAGTCTTTGTTGAAGGTGAAATTATCCTTGAGGGGGGTGGACTGGAGTAGCTTAATTAACATTGAACCAGAATAAAAATAAATGTGTTCATTTACTATTATATTCTAAGCTAACTTGTTCCATCACAAACGAAAAGATTAACTTTGGCGAAATCTCATTCAAACTTCCCTTTCTTGTGTTTCTCACACTTTCAGATAGACCTTTGCTCAATTGAGAATTCACTGATTCAGTGCTTGTGAATGCACAAATTTCCTCCCTAAGTGCTTCATCAGTTTGCAAACAAGATGTTCTAACTATGTGAGTATGTAAGAGATCTAGTATGATATAAAATACAAAAAATATGTGTAATATAAATAGTATGATATGAAATACAGAAAATGTGTAATATAAATACTTTATATAAATTTATATTAGAGATTATCTTTAAAGTAGAGATCATAGAAATAGATTGGGTGATTTTTTTATGAGAAAAACTTGGGACAATTTTATTATATTTTAAGGTATTTAATAAAATAAATCTTAAATCCTAAACTTTAATAATAATAATAGAAAAATATATTTTAAAAGTATTTATAAAATAAATTAAAAAATAATATTGTATTCCCTGTGACATAAAATATATTTCATTTACACTTTTTTTATATTTCGTGTCTTTATTATATAAAAAAGCTATTTTATTATTATTTAAAAATATAGTATTGTATTTGCTCCGACCTTCAATTACCTTCAATAATAATTTTATTAATATATCTGTTTGACAGAAATTTTATTATTATATTAACAACATTAACATAATGTATTTATATTGAATGGTTCATAGTTCATAGTGTATCAAGTTCGGCGAAATCAGAAAATTCCGTAAGATATGTTTCTCTTTTTGTAGCACCACTTTTACATAACATAGCTCAGAATCACCACCAGAGACAAACCAAAAATTGTGAACTCAGAAAATTCCATCATAAGAGGTACTTTTATGTAACTGTTTCTGTTTATGTCATTTCACTCTCAGTTGGGTCCTAAATTTACAGAAAAATCAAATTAAAGTTGACTTCACTTTATTGTGGCGATTCATATCCACTACTGTTTACGCTATGTGATTATTACTATTGTCCATTATTTGCTGTATTATTAATTTCTGATCAATCAACTTTTAATCACTGGTGATGATGTTATGGAAAGGGTTTTTGGGTCAAAATTTGTGATGATGTTATGAAGACATAGGTAAAATTGGCTGAAATTTGTGATTAAAATATTAATTGTTAGCACCGAGCTGGATTCGAACCTAAGATCTGGAGAAACATACTTTTTCTTTTGCAGGATTGACAAGCAAAGGGGTTTTATGAAGATTTTTTAGTAGATAAGATGCTATGGCATTGCAAAAAATATCCTTGCTACTTTGAATAGTAATGTATGATATTTCTGTGGTGCGCTTTACCTTGACGAAATGGGTTATGCTATGAGTAGATTAGAGGTGGAATCTAGTGATTGTGAGGATGGAAATGCCATTCATGAAAGTTCTAGTTCTGGAAAAACTAAAAATGGATTTAAAAATTTAGACAATGAAATTGCTCAAATAACTAAGTTGAAATCAACACCTCATCGGCTATTAGTACATGATGGGTCTGGAAGGAAAGAGTTGCCTGTTTCCCCAGTGAAGATGCTGGCAGGTCGGGAGGCTAATTGTTCGGGACGGGGAAGATTTTCTTCTGCTGATCGGTGTCATATGTTGAGTAGATATTTGCCTGTAAATGGTCCTTGGCTTATTGACCAAATGCCGAGTCGAGCATATGTGTCTCAGTTTTCAGCTGATGGTTGTCTTTTTGTTGCTGGGTTCCAAGTAAATATTCTCTCTCACCTTTAACATTGTATCTTAAAAATATACTTTTTTGTTGTAAGGTATATGCACGCTATAGTTTTGATTCTGATTAAATTAAATTTTCAGGGAAATATCATAAAAATATACAATGTGGAGAAAGGTTGGAAAGTTCAAAAAAATATTCTAACCAAGAGTTTGAGATGGACAATCACTGATACTTCTCTTTCCCCTGATCAACGCAGTCTTGTAAGTTCCTGTATTTTATCTTCAAAATAACAGGAAACAGATTTTTTTAATCCATTGTTTTTATGGATTATTCTTATGGCACATGCATCTTCAATTTCAGGTTTATGCCAGCATGTCGCCTATTGTACACATTGTAAATGTTGGATCATCTGAAACTGAGTCACTAGCAAATGTGACGGTACTCACAACTAATTCTGCACTTTGGTTTTAATTTCTAATCCGGAAAATACCACTTTGGTTGTTTTGAATGCTATACAATATCTGAGGAATAGATTCTTAGAAGTCGGATTCCATGATGTGTCTAACTAGTGGAAGTTCTAGGTTCTTTTTTATGGTGTTCTTTTCATATTTATAATGTGCTTTTGGTTCTTATAATATGCAGGAGATCCACGACGGTTTAGATTTTTCATCAAATGATGATGGAGGATACTCTTTTGGAATTTTCTCTGTGAAATTCTCAACAGATGGGAGAGAATTAGTAGCAGGAACTAGTGGTGATTCTTTAGTTGTATACGATCTTGAAGCAAATAAGGTTTCACTTCGAATTCTAGCGCACGCGGTAATGTTACTAGCCATAAAATATTGCATCTCTTTAGCTTCAAATGATTTTGACTATTTTCTGAATCATTAACTTATGGTGCAGTCTAAATTAAATTGTCTGATTCACAATTTAGTTAGCTCTATGAGCTGTATAGAATTGATTGTGCATCAAGTGAGGAAGTGGTTTTTATAAATCCATGTGATGGAATAGATTGCTTAGCTGCATTATCAAATGCGACCACTTTATCTATTGGCAGTGGCTTTATATTTGTGCCTGTGAAGTTCTTGTTGAAAGTTTCTGCTTGATCATCATTCTATCATTTTTATGGGCAAATTATTTTCATATTGTGGTGATTTTTTATCGATCAAGAGTATTAACACATACCATAGATGTTCTAACTTTTGATTTTTATTTTATGTTGCAGGCTGATGTAAATACTGTATGTTTTGCTGATGAAACTGGCCATCTTATTTACTCTGGAAGTGATGATAGTTTCTGCAAGGTATGTCCTACATTATAAGACACCTTATTCTGTTAAGATTTTCCCTCTTTTTGAGTATCCCAACTTTTGATTTTATATAGAAGCAAATGACCATCTTGTAAACAGGAAGTCAGTCTAATGTACAAATTTGTTCAGGTTTGGGATCGGCGTTGCTTAAATGCTAAAGGCAAGCCAGCAGGGGTTTTGATGGGGCACCTTGAGGGCATTACATTTATTGACTCCCGTGGAGATGGACGCTATTTCATTTCTAACGGTAAAGATCAGACCATAAAACTTTGGGATTTGCGCAAAATCTCGTCCAATGTTACCTGGTATGTTCTTTTTCCTTCTAGTAATCTATATTTTGAAGTCCATATCTTTTGAATCTGAAGAATATGTGTTTCGACAAAATGTTCAATAAATAATGGTACTATTGTACTTCTGCTAATGGGAAAGATTAAAGTAGTTTGGAATTTAACAAGAAAAAAGGCTGTAAACTATAAAGTGAAATACCGCATGTCATACCAAGCATTGAGTCAGTGGGACGTTAGCTGATAATGGAAAATTAAAAGGAAATCTTGTTCATGACTCAATTCTTGATAACTTGTTTCTAGAATAAATCAAACAACTTATATTAGGATGAACTATAAGTCTAGTATGGTTATGCTTGCTAATGCATAAGAAAACATACAGGCTCGTGCGAGTACATTTTTCTGAACTAATAATTTGCAATCATCTTACATGTTAAATGAACTAATAAGTTTGCAATTTTTGATGAGCACAAGTCACTTACGTGGTTCATCGTACAAGACCATATTTTACCATGAGATTGTAAAGTAGTGTGGAATTTAACAAAAACAAGGCTTTAAACTATGAAGTGAAATACTGCATATCATCTTAAGCATTGAGTCAGAGAGACGTGAGCTGATAATGGAAAATTAAAAGTAAATTGTTCATGACCAATTCTTGATAGCTTGTTTCTAGAATAAATCAAACAACTTATATTAGGATGAACTATAAGCCTAGTATTGTTATGCTTGCTAATGCATAAGAGAACATACGGGCTCATGTGAGTATGTACTAGAAAGTACACCAAGGTAACTTTACCAGGATTGCTACTAAAGTCTCAGTCAGATACTCTACGTATTCTCTCTCATTCTCATTCGATGGTCATCTGCTTATTTGGTAGTCACTCATGGTATTCTCTGCACATAAGACTCATTAAGGATTATTAAGCCGATTGTCCCTGATTAAATTTGATCTCTTAATAGTGATTGAAATCAGACTTTATTGCTAGATATTGGGTCATAATGTTATCAATTAGCCATACATGCACTATCCACGTATTTTAAGTTTCCATATTCGAATATTCCCTTCATGTTAGTTTTGCGCTGTTAGGGTCGGCCCGATCCACCAGCTTGCTTAACCCGACTTTATTTTGTGAAGCGAGCTATACTTCGGGTCGGGCTCTTCTGGCACCGTCCTACAGTCCGGCCCACTCTTGGAGTGTGTATATCTCCCTGGGTTATCAAGTACTCGGCCCAAAATAGATGGGACATGTGCACATACCCCCCAAGCATGAGCCGCACATAGGGGCAAAATGCTTTCCTGAAACCGACCAAGAGATTGGATATTTACAATGTCTTTCAAGCATGAGCCGCGTACAGGCGAAATGCTTTCCTGAGACTGGTTAAGAGATTGAAATTTACAGTCCCAAAAGCATGAGCCCCATAGGGGCAAAATGCTTTCCCGAGACCGGATATTTACACAGTCCCTCAAGCATGAGCCGTGTAGGGGCGAAATGCTTTTATGAGATTGACTAAGAGATAGGATATTTACACAATTTTATTTTAGGACAGGCTCTTTCGATATTGTCAATAGTTGCCTAGAACTCAACCTACTCCTAGGGTGTGCTCTCCGTCATAATATTAAGCCCCTCTGCTAAAGATGGCCTAAAGGTACACAATCCCCAAAGCATGAGGCGCTTGGGCCGATGTGCTTTGAGCGCAAGACCGGTTGGGCCAAGCTGGCTTCTTGAAGGGCGAGCTGACCTTCTAATTGAGGCAGCTCACCATTGCTGTTTTAGGGTGGGCTCTCCATTGTATTACTAAGTCCCTTGGTTGAAAGCAGGCCGAACGATACATAGTCCCCCCAGCATGAGTTGGGTAGGGGTGAAATGATTTAGTTGAAAGTTCGTGACACTACAAAGTTATTGTGGACGGTCGATTGGTAGAAGAGGCTAGTCCTGAAGATGGCGTGGTGGAACAGCCCGAAGATGCAAATAGTAAGTCCTTGGTATACTTGTACACATAGCCCCTCAAGAACGAGGTTTGAAAGGGCGAAATGATCAAGTCTGAAATCCGGATAGTACGACTTGAGATCGACTTTACTTTGTAGGTGATTTGCTCCTTCATAGTTTTGACTAATAATATTTTGTAGGAGTCGCCTGTAGGCGCAAGGATACTCCAGAAGGTTCCAGCATGATGCCTCGTAGGGAGTAGCCAGGAGGCGCAAGGATGCCCCAGCCCAGAGGGTTACAGCATGATGCTCGGTAAGGAGTAGCCCGTAGGCGCAAGGATACCCTGGAGGGTTCCAGCATGATCCTCGGTAAGGAGCAGCCCGTAGGCGCAAGGATACCCTAGAGGGTTCCGGCATAATACCCCGTAGCGAGTAGCCCGTAGGCGCAAGGATACTCTGGAGGGTTCCAGCATAATGTCCTATAGAAGCAGCCTGAGGACGCAAGGATATCCCGGAGGGTTCTGTTAGACCTTAAGAATTAGAACTAAAAATAAATGTGGCTGTTCTATTCTGTCAAGTAGCAGTTACAGGGATATGAGCAGCCATTATAAATGATATCTCTAGCAGTTATAGAGCCTAAGAGTGGCCATTAGTATTATTAGAGTAACAATTATTATTACTGGAACAGTTACAAAACTTAGGCAGAATAAATATGAAAACAGAACCATGATCTGAGCTGCTGAAAATTAGAAAGAGGTTATATTTGGGAGGGAGAGACCAAGCTCTCGAATTCTTGGAAGGGAGAGAACCAAGTCTCTCGAATTTCTTGGAAACTCGTAATTACTATTAAATTTTATTGTTTGGTATCAGTTTCTATCAGGTTCCACCAAATCTATTCTATTTTTCTCCTTCTGCCACCCTTTCACCTACTCCGTTTGTTTCATACTAGAGAGCAAGAATATGGGAATATACTTGTTCATCCTCGTGGTGGGCTACCGAAGCTCAAAAAAGATAAATGAACAGCTCTTGGTTGAAAAACTATTTCATTTATAAGACAAATAAAAAACTGGTTGAACAGCTTGACAAAGAAAGTGCAATGATAGGGACATTAAATTCCTAAGCTTAGAAATGTACTGAGTAAAATTTGAGCAGGATAAGGTTAAATGTGCTAATACCAAAGAGAAATAAGCTTAAGGCCTAAAGGTCCTTTCTTGGAATTATGCGGATTTAAAGAAGTTTTATCTCTATTGGACCTACCTGAACCTGTTTCATCATCTGATTTGAAACCACAAATGAGCTGTTTTATAGATTCTTTTCATAAGGCCCAATGTGATGTTTGTGTTCTATACGAAGAAATATAATGAAGCTGTGGTGGAAGGGGAAGAAAGGGGAATAAATTTGGAGTGGAGGGTGTATCATTACGTTTGATGAAACTCTATAATCTAATGGTAAAAAATTTTTTTATACATTACTCAACTTGCCCTATAAGTTAATTATACTTACAAAAATATGTTGCGAGATTGTGAGGCTCAATATAATTATGAACTATCTACGAGGCTTTTGCAATCTATCACTACATTTCATAGCAAAAAAAATAATACTAAGAATTTTATAGAATTACTTTTACAGGATGATATGTTGTGGGTCTATTTGTGTTAGCTTGTCAGTCTGAAAATTGATCCGATTTCTAGCCTAGCGAATAACGTCTGTTCCTTTTTGTGACTATGCTATTTCTAGATGAAATTGTTGCCAATGCAAAGGAATACTCTAAACAGATTTTTTTCTAAATTCCAGTAATCATGGACAGAAAAGTTTTGAATGGGATTACAGATGGATGGATTACCCGCCACAAGCAAAAGACTTGAATCATCCTTGTGATCAGTCAGTTGCTACATATAGAGGCCATTCAGTCTTACGCACTCTTGTCCGCTGCTTTTTCTCTCCAGCTTTTAGGTGAGCACTGAAGTGGCCTTACCTTTTAATTATTCCGATCTAGGGCTTTTAATTATTCAGATTTAGTGTCTGTTTGTTACATATTATTCAAAAAAGTGATTCCGATATTCCATAATTTAGGAATTAATATTTAGCCTCATGTTGTTTTCTTCAAATTTACAGCACTGGCCAAAAGTACATCTATACCGGATCACACAACGCATGTGTTTATGTATATGATTTGGTATGTTTTTTAGAAACTATTGCTCTACCTATATTTCTTTTTATTTCTATAGAATGCCTTGCTCAATATAAAACTCTGATAATTCATTACAGGTGACTGGAGCACAAGTTGCAACACTGAAGCACCATAAATCACCTGTAAGAGATTGTAGTTGGCACCCTTTCCAGACTATGCTTGTTAGTTCGTCTTGGGACGGGGATGTTGTAAAATGGGAATCTTCTGGAAGCTCTGATGTAGCTGCCTCTTTGGTTAAAAAGAAGAGCATATACAAAAGACATTTTTTTGAAGATTACCTATGATGATGCCAGTTAAATCGGTTGAGTGATCTGAAAGGTCCATAACATGTTGATAATGAAGTTGTATATGGTGTTTGATATAATAAATAAGGTATAATATATTATGAACTACCAGATAATCTTGTACATAAGTAATAAGCAACCACTTGAGTTGACTGTGAGATCGATTCATTTGTATGCCGTGTCCGTAATAAATTTGTTATAGAGTAATGCATTATTAGTGTCAAAGTGAGTCCTCATTTATACCATAAAACCAGTTGAAGAGGATCTGAGTCTTGGTGTTGTATGAAAGCATCAATAATCGGTCCCGTCATTTGTCTGTCTTGGTGGTTTACGTACTATATTCTTTGATATGATGCTTTATATCCTTGAATAAGATAGACCCAATAGAAAGGCAGGTTGAAAAATCTGCTGCTCAAAAAGCAACTGTGACGAAAAGATTTCAAGGTTTTCTTTTTCAAAGAATGGAGAATATTCTCATATTAATGGCATGAAATGGCTTTGTCCAAAAAGGGCCAACACCCTACAGAGGTGCTACCTTAACATTTTGTATATAAATTTGGGGGATTTCTCATTCCACTCCATATTTTTATAGTGTATCACGCGAAATTCTTAAAATACTTTTCAAAATCGGAAGTATATTTTGAGTGTGTACTATGTTAGACATGAAATACGTTGAAGAGTTGGGTGCAAATCGGAAATATAACTATGGTTTGTAAACGTAAATATATTTTCGGTGTATGGACGCATTAATAAGTGCGCTGTCTCTTCCCCTCCCTTTACAGTCACATTTGAAAACACAAAAAACTCTAAAACTCAATCTCATTTTCACCAAATCAACCACATTTGCAACCCAAGTTGTTAGAAATCATCAAACATCAGTCTCTCAAGAATCTAACTACAATCAATCAAGGAAAGTCAACCACAATCAATCAAGTAATTTGTTTTTGAACTTTTTAGAGTTTATGTAAAACCCACTAAAATGTGTGATTTAAGTTAGAAATTGGGACTTTTTTAGTTTGTTATCAATATTAGGAATCATTAGAAAAGTGTTGCCAATGTTTTTTTCATGATCAATGAATTTTTTGTGAGCTCATTTGGAGGACAGGGAAGCTTTAACATGGCTATGTAATCGCAGCAGGAACCAGTAAATGCATTTTCAGTTTTACCAAGAACAAAACCGCAAGCGCATTTTCGGTTTTAGTATGTATCTGTTTTCAGCTTTGTTTTGAACACTGGTCCTTAAGTTAATATTTTTCATACTTTTACAGAAGTAATGACTGCGAGACCATCTCGATTGAGGTTCGGCAGGGTTGCACAACATGCCTCTGTGCGAAGGGAAAAAAGTCAGACAATCCAGCCTCCTCCTGTCTCTGGACATGCTATATCGGATGCATCTCTTACATCTCCAGCCTCTAGTGTTCAAGCTTCTACTCCTACTACTTCGTCCTTCCGTAGCAGGCGGGATTCTCCAGTTCATCTATTTTCGTCCCCGTCCTCCCGTAGACGCACTTCTCGACTGAGTGTATTTGAGGCGGGAGAGACGTCCGGTTCTCAGGTGACACCAGAGACCCAATCACAGCTTGCATCACAATCTTAGTTTCAGACGACACCTGTGGCGGCTCCTCAGTCATCCCAGGCACATGGGCGGTACCTGAGCTCGCACCTGCGACACCTGAGTCTACATCTGCGACACCTGAGCTTGCACCTACGACACCACCATCACAGGCTGCACCTGCGGCGCCTCAGACTTTTGGAGGAGGGCCGGTTGATTTATATGTTTTGTCCTTTACCATGATTATGTTGTTAGATATATTTGAGACGCACATGTATGAATTTTGATTTTTATTATGAATTTTTTATGAATTTGGAATTTTGGTTTGTAGATTAAATCCGTCAAAATATTTATGCAGGAACGTGATACGCTCAAGGTCATTAACCATGGGCGGAAGATCAGTAAACTCTTATCCCCCGTTGAGCCATGGTCTGATGAGCTTTTATTGAGTACATGTTTGAGAGATTTGGCCCTGTGTGGATACAACATTGTCAGATGGGGTATGATTAACGTGTTTGTTGAGAGGTGGCACCATGAGACGTTGCCGTTTCATCCATCACATGGTGTGATGGCGATTACACTCGACGATATCGCGTGTCTGCTTCATATTCCGATTAGAGATATATTCTTGGATCATAAGAGTATTAATAAATAGGAGGCATTGGATATGTTGGTTGAGAAATTGAGAGTTACCCCTGAGAGTGCTATGGACGAGATTGATAAAACTCGTGGTTGCCACGTCAGGTATAATTATTTGGCTAGGGTGTTCACGGATGAGATTAGGTGTGAAGGAGACGCTCATGGTGATCCCGAGCAGATTACCATTCATCGGAGGTTTGTTATGAGAGCATACTTGTTGTATCTTGTTGGCACGCATATTTTTATGGACACTAGTGCCACTTGCACTGATATAATGTACCTATGATTCTTTGGAAAATTTGAGACGATCCACCAGTGGAACTGGGGGGTGCTTGCCTGGTTTACTTGTATACGAAGTTGGATGAAGGAATTAAGTGGAATACGAGGCAAATGACCGGCAACATGTCACTCCCGACGGTATAACTTCTTGGTCTTTGTGGGTTTTTGTTAATTTTTATGATTCTGGAGCTAACTATTTAACTTTTTTTTTATTTCAGGGATGAATCCTACAACACTTCTCCTGTATTTCGAGTTGGTCACTTGCTATGGGTTATACTGAAGATAAGTCGCATGCCTGCGCATACGACCCGCTCCTAAGTAATCAGGCGACTGAGTCGTTCCGGGTGTATATTGACTGACTGGTGCATGAGGACATACACTTCTGTTCATACGGTGACCACAGTGTGACGATATCATTTGACGAGGTTGTGCTATTTACGGGTTGGTTAACCGGCTGGATTCGCAAGAGGGTTGCTTATATGCCTGAGCGAGTGATGCGTCAGTTCGGGTGCACCCAGACCATTTCTCGTGATCCTGCAATATATGCTCCTCTAATGGTGAAACAAAGTGATATGGATGCTTTGTTTGATGATTTTGAGAATCATCTTGTTTCTGATGAGGCCAAGAGTACTATAGCACCACATGACTAGAGCTACGAGTACAATTACATGATATGGTTCTTCCAGGTTTCCCATCCATACATGGTACAAGATGCTTCAGGAAATCCACCGAGGCCATTTCATCAGGAGATTCTAGAGGAGGAACAGGCTAGGACCGATCATGCCACTAATGTGTTGCTTAGGTGTCGTCGTATCATGGAGATTGCGTGGGACGGTATTGTTAGAGGTATTTTTCCTGATTGATCCGATGTTAGAGGTGTTCTGGATACCATCATGGCGGAGGCTCAGGAGGCTATGCTTTACAGGAGGCAGCGGAGAAACGTCGGGAGGGTGACAGACCGACTCATCATCTGCCACACACAATAGTATTTGATGATGTATCTATATTTAGGTTTTAGTTTTTTGTTATTGTATTTGGATTATATTTTTGGATTATCTCTTTATCGACTACTGACATTTTTTGTGATGTGTACTATATATATATATATATATATATATATATATATATATATATATATATATATATATATATATATATATATATATATATATATATATATATATATATATATATATATATATATATATATATATTTTATTTTTCTTGGTTGTATGTTTTATATAAATTATTGTCTGTAATGCGAAATAATTAGAAAAATAATGCATTTCTTTACCTGCTTTATTTTTCATGTTATTGGCAGCATTTAAATCGAAAATATATTGCCGGTTTACAACCATAAATATATTTCTGATTTTAAATTTGTTTTAATAAAAAAAAATGCACACAAAAAACATATTTATGGTTTTCGAAAGACATTTTAAATATTGATAAGATATTTATTTTAGGCATAAAGTAGAAAAAGAAATGCCCAAAATTTAGGACCTCATTCTATTTTTTGTTTTGTTGTGTGGTGAATGATATTGGAACCTAATGATGCCAAGATTGCTGGTATTCTTAATTGTTGTCACTAGGAAAATGACTTAAGTTTTAAGTAAATTGAACACTCATAGGCATAGCAACAAAATAGATGACAGTAGGGTTCTGGTTCATCGTACTTAATTCACTTTAGAGTGTAACGTGAGCAATAAAATCTTTTAATTAAAAAATTAAAGATAACAAATTCGAGTATGTGAGTCGACCTTCTCACATAATCTATGATTACAAAGATATTATTTGTTTTGGGTATAAAAATTTATTAGAGATTTGTTCTTTAAAAAAATGTTTAATTGGATTGAGGAGTATGAATATCGTATATAAATTAATTATTATTAGTTTTGATTTTTAAATAATGTGAGATTATTTTGCTCCGTCCAATTAGTACTAAATTTGCGTGTTTGTTAAAATAACAACTTTCAATTTTTTATTTATTTAACACTTTAATCACTTTAGAGGAGTAATATTGTTTCTATTTGTTTTAGTGATAGATGTATTCTAAAATTTTAATAAAAAATTAGTTTAATTTGGTGGAACATGAAGGTAGGTTGCTAATTTGCTAGTGTAGATTAGGCAGGGTTGCAAGAAAATTTCCAGTGGATTCGCTCCAAAATTACCAACTCTAAAATTACGAAAATTAGATTTTAGAACTTATGAAGATGAGTTTAACTTAAGAATGATAATTTAGTCTATTTTCAATGGATATCTACAAAATTATCCATAATAGATAAGGTAAAAATCCACAAAAATGAATATGTACACTGTAATACATTATTTCTATTCAATAAATTATATAAAATCAGAGTTACAAAATTTTCAACAAACAAATGGAATGTTACATTTTCAACTAAGAAACAACGACATTCAATCGCATATAGTTCACATACATAACACATAAAATTCGGATGAACCGATAACAATCTGTTTAGTCTTTAAAAATTAAACAACTTTCATAATTAAGCAGCAGAATCACAAT